GGATGAGAGCAGTATGCCAATCCCGGCTGACTTGGGAATGTCGACACCGCCATCCGTTGCGAGTATCCACGGTCCCCAGCGATGATGTTGCACCTTATCGCGGTGCTGGGCTCTGGTTGCGTATAGGAACTTCGCAGCAGGGCGTTGCTGCGAGCACGACGGAGACCAAGGTGACTTCACTCCCGAGAAGGTTCCACGCCATGCCCGGTGTGGGGAGGTGAGGCGGTCTGCCTGCAGACTGTCGGTCAGAACTGCACGACCGTTTCGCAGCGGTCACTCCGTTGATATCGCCCGTGGCGGTGTCGTTCACAAGAACCCTGGCACCGAGGAGGATGGCTACATCAATGTTTGGCGGCTCAACATTGCAGGCCTCTCGTCCGTGAAAATATTGCATTTGCTGCGCGATTGGAGCAGTGTCCACCTGACACCGTTCTTCTGCAGGAAATAAGTAACCGTGGTGGCGTGGCGACGAAATTATGTGGCCATAATGACTACCTTCAGGCCTCACTGGGCGCGGTGGTGGCGTTGCCGTTCTGGTGCGCCACTCTCTACCGTGCGAGCGCCTGTCGCTCCCTGGCACTGACCTCCTGGAGACCATTGCTGTCCGTGTATTTCCGCCGGGCTGTTGCAGCATTTGCGTGGCGAATCTCTACAACCCTCCCACAACAATTGGTCAATAATCCGCATTTATCAATATCGTTTGCCGCTTTTGCCCGAAGAGATTATCGCGGGTGACCTGAATTTGCATCGTGAACTCTGGGACAGTCATATGTACCATCAAGGACTGGAGGCGATGATTTCGCCGCTGTTCTAATCGATATGGATTTTGGGCTGGCAAATTACCCGACACAGGCAACACGGATCACACATCGTAATGCCTCGTCCCCTGACGTGACTGCGTATTGCGCCCTACGCATCTCCCACTGGACATTCGCCCCTTACATGGACTCGGACCACTGCTGAATATCTTACTTGGTAGAGATGGACGATGGCACTCCACGACTAGCAAACACGCTGCCTTGACGGAAGAAAGCCACCTTTGCCCTGCGTAAAGCGGATTGGCATGCTTTTACATCGTTGTGTGAAACCCTCCTTTCCACCGCGTCCACATGGTTGGATCCTCGCGGAGGCATCTTACGAGCAGCTGAGCGCCATATCCCGCGCGGCAGCCGTGACAGCTCCAAAAAGACATGGACACACGAAATGGAACAGGCCGAGTCCGCCGCCGAGGCAGCACACGAAGCACACACATTGCCTCGCCTGGAGACAGCCTACTTTGAGCCGAATGTACCCGAAAAAGGAAGAGCGAAATCAAGCCTTACGCCGTTGCTCCGCTGTGCTTCTGGAAGCCCGCGCGAAAAGACTTGGAGCCTCACCCAGCCCGAGGTGGCGATATCTTCACGGCGTGGTGGCGCCGCACCCTCATCCTCTGGAATCGGTTGTGCTCCGCACTGAACTTGGCCGCGTATGCGCCCTGCCTCGGCAACAGGCAAATCTGCCTGTCCGTCATTTTGTGCGGTTTCACGTGCCGTACCGCCTTATACTGCTGCTGCTGCTTGCTGCATTCCTTTGGTTCCTGGTGGCTGGGAAATGGATCGGCCTTTCCCGCCGTATGAACTTGACGTGGCCATCCGTGACTCTTTGCTTGGCTCAGCCCCTGGCCCCGACAACATGTTGAATGAATTCCTGCACCGTCTCGGGCCCGTTGCGCATGGCACACTTAGAACGATGATCCACAATTCCTTCGCAAACGGCAGCCTGCCTGGCTCCTGGAAAATGGGAGACGCTATTCCTATCCCCAAGCCTGGGAAGGATCCATGCCGCCCAGAGAGCTACAGACCTATCACGCTGCCCTCTGTTTTACTAAAGTTAGCCGAAGGAATGACTCACCGCCGTCTGTCAGCGTTATTGCCGCACCACCCACGTCAATTTCGGATTTGCAACTCCGCGTTCTACGTCGGACGTGGTGGCACTTGTTATCGACAAATTACTCGTGGACTGAATGAGTTTGGCATTGTGGAGCATGAGCGCCCTGGAGACGACGCCCCCACACGACGCCCTCGTCGCCATCGCTCGTGGTCTCGATTGATTTTCCGACTGCGTTCGACACCACTGACCATGGGAATTTATTCCGCATGCTTGACAGACTTCCGCGCCTTGGCCTCGAACCAAACGCTGGCTGCACAACTACCTGCGGGGCCGCTATGTTGGGGTATGCACTCGTGAACAGCACTCCCGGAAACAACTCGCCTCAGCTGGAGCACCGCAAGGCGGCGTCCCGGGACCCCAACTCTTCCTCTGCTGTGTGGATGATCTGCTGCGCCGCCTGGGCAGCATCTATTCTGCCTCCGCATTCATGTAAGCTGGCGAACACACACTTGTTGCCTTGTGTGCAGACATCCATGCCTGTGCTGCGGCAATGCGACCGCTCTTGTCTCTTGTGGCCACATGGGCTGCCGAGCATAGCCTAAAAATCAACGTCGCTAAGAGCGAAGCTGCTCTATTCCACATCTCTTCACACACACACGGTCTGACGAGGACATGGTCGATCTCCATCTTGTTAGCGGGAACCTGCGTATTCAGTCACGCCCAGTGCGCTTGCTGGGCAACACGATTGATCAACTTCTTAATTGTGTTACGCATGCTTCCACCGCTGCAAAGAGGACCATGCCACGCCGCCATCAGCTGCGTCTGGTCGCAGAGGCGGACGCGTCCCATCACACCATGCGATCCTTTTTGATTGGATACGTTCATAGTGTGCTATTTCATAATGGCGAGGCAATTGTCCCTTGACTCGCCCCCACACATCTCCACAATATGGAAGTACGGTACCGCGACGGTAGCAAAACATTCTTTGCCTGAGCGCCTCTACGGAAGACACATCCGTCTATTTGGAGGCCAATATTCTTCCGCTCCGTAAGATACTCTGGCGTCGTGCATTCACACAATACGAACGCTATATACGCCTCCATGATCACGAGGATTTGCGTTCCCTTATCTACTCGCAACCTATGCCTTCGTCCATGCATGGGAAAGCGGCGACATCAATCCGTTTCCGAGAGATGCTGTTATTAATGGATTGCTACGCGTCTGTGACATTATTGGGACACCCCACAACCACATTCGCGCGCCTCTTGCCCAACATCGAATTTTCCCTGGGACACTGTGAGCTGCAACAACGTGAGATTTTATCAGCCACTGTTTGCCGAAGACGCCTCTGACGATGTCAGGCGCACGGCTTTTTATTCTACTCACTCCTCTTTGGGGGATTGTGATTTTGAATTGTGGACGGACGGTCCTTCGTCTCTCGCTGCACTCGCGTCTGGATCCGCTGCGCTGTTATATGACTCCACCACGACAAATGATCTCCCTGTGGAGGTACATTGTGCAGCAGCTGGCAGCCTCGCATGCTCATATGGGGCAGGCTGCCTTGCGATCGAAAATGTTTTTAGACATCTCATACCTCCTTGTCCGGGAACATCCCAATCGCCCACACGAATGCTGGAGGAAACGGACTCCCTCTCGGCAATGGAGGCACCCCGCCTTGGACTGCTGGCGGTGCACGACGACGTCACTGAGTAAATTTGGATTATGCTGCTTTCCTTGGTGAGGCGAGGTCACCCTGTGGATTTTATATTTTCCCCTCACACTGCGGTATTCCACGCAGTGAGGCCGCTGACAAACAAGCCACGATGGCACGATTCCTCTCGCAGGACTGCGTCAATGCCTGGCACGTGGACTTCCTCACTGCAGTGAAGAGGTTATAATGGAAGGATGCCCAGGAGGAAAAGGAAGGCGCGCACACCGCGTGACAGGCGCCTGTCGGTGTGGCGAGGACTCTATTCCTGGTGTTGACCCGGACATCGGTCCCCGAGTGGCGGCACTGCGCACAGGCGCGATGCGACTCCTGCCCACTCTTCGACAGGCCTGCACGCGCCCTGCGGATCACAAGGAACCCTCTGTGTCGGTGGTGCCGTCCCTCCCTCACTGCGGTGACCGGCCCGCCTCTGCCTCCGCCGGAACCTCTTCCCGACGTGAGCACCGCAACTCCTTGTCGACCAGCGAGCGGCGGATTGACGTCCTCCTGCCCAACCTGCGGCAGAGTGCGCTTGTCCGTCCACAGTATGAGGGCACATGCCGGACGTGCTCAGCCTGGCGTTATAATAGTTTGCGAGGGCCTCCCATGCGGATGCCGCAATGGCGCCACCGTCTTCCTAACAGGTGCCTCGCGCGCAGGTCGCCACCGAAGTTGCCAAGCATGCCGGCAGGCAAGACACGCAGGAAGCACAAACGCGGGTACTCGAGATGGACCAGGCTCTTCCGCCACCGCCTCATCACGGACGCCACGGGCTGCTGATCCCCGACGGACCACGGGAGACTCCGCCTCATCCACTGCGGGAATGCCCTCGTCGTTGGGAACTGGGACTGCGACTGTGTGGGACTGCCCCAGCCCGCACGACGGAATACTTGCCACTTTTGTACGGACGGCCCTTGCGCTACTCACTCGTTATTGTAGCAGCATACAACCAAAACAAGATAATAAGCTGCTTTGTGATGAATATTGTCTGCACTTCCCGTGGACCAACAGTCCGCCTGGTGTGCGGGGATCTTCTTTTTTATTGTTACTTTGCTGTTGTGTTGCTGTGTGCGCTGCACCTTCTTGTGTGTGTGCGCACCCTCCGTGAGGGGTGCCGACACGACGGACCGCTCTCGCCGTATGTGCATGCGGTGGAGCCTTTTGTGCCGCTCCCGTTTGCTTCTCCCTCTTCCATCTGTGTGTTGTTGCTGCGGCAGGGCTGTGTGTGTGTGTGCCCGTTTGCCGAGGATTGGTGTGTGTGTGTTGTGCGTGGTGTGCGGCGTACGGTGCATGCCTGGCTGCTGCCCTCTCCTCATGTGGTGTGCCCTCTGCGTGTGTCTGCTGCACCTCTCGTCTCCCCTGTTGCTCTCCATGTCCCTCACTGTGCAGATCAGCTCCACACCACTGAACGACCACATTCACGATGATGATGACGTGCCGTCTGCTGTGCGCCCTGTTGGTGCTTGCCCTGTGCTGCTGCTGCCCGTCCGTGTGCGTTGCAGATGTTCAGCCTGAACCTGATGTTAAAGGCGATACAAAAGACCCCTATTCGGTTACTCAGTCACAGGGAACAGGTGTTTCAGGGGCAACAAATACTTCCACGACGTCAAGTTCAGCAGCTGCGGCCGTTGCATCATCGGGAAAAAGTGGAAAGTCCGATGCGAAAGGGGCTCCAGGTGCGGAAAAAGCTCTGCCAGGAAATCCAAGTGGGGCGACCGCTCTTGCAGGAAGTTCAGGTTCAACAAGTCCGGTGTCTATTACAAAAGAGAGTTCAGGTGGGTCCGGCAGTTCAGGGAGTCCAGTTCTGGTGGCCGATACGGTACAGAAAAATGGCGAAAACGATACGAGAGAGTCAAAAAGTGGCAATAATCCATCCACAGACCATGTGAATACGAATGCCGACGATTCGGCCAAGAAGACCACGGCGGCTACTACCACTACTACGACAACCACGACGACCACCACTACAACACAGGCACCAAGTACTACGACTACTGAGGCGCCAGCTGTGTCGACCACCCGCGCACCGTCACGTCTTCGCGAAATCGACGGCAGCCTCAGCAGCTCTGCGTGGGTGTGTGCCCCGCTGCTGCTCGCCGCATCCGCGCTGGCGTACACCACTGTGGGCTGAAGAGGTGTGTGCGGGCTGTGCGTGCCAGCACTCAACCGCGGGGATTTGTGCGTGTGTGTTGTGGTTCACTGTATAAAATAAGAGGAAATAATGATCTTGTTTTGCTTCATTTGCTTCTGCTGCCTTGCTGTGTGCTCCGCGTTGTGCCCCGCATCCGCCACGTTGAACGCATCGCGGACGCACTCATAAGCATGCGCACTGGAGCCCTGGGTTTGTTTTCTTTTCTTTTTTAATTATTGTTTTTAATTATTGTTTTTTATTGCTTTTTAAACTTGTGGTTTGCGGTGCGGTGTGCGAGTTCTGCAATCGTACTGATTCCATCTGTCTCGTGGTGTGTGCGCTGCTGCTGGGGTGCTGCCATTTGTTGCTGTGCGTGGTGTGGCGGCCGTGTCTATCTTTTGCTTCCTCTCTCCGCTGAATGGGATTTATTTTGTGCTGAGGGCCACACGTAAAAGAGAGGAATGATGGCGATGATGACTGGCCGTGTGCTGCTGTTGTGTGCCCTCTGCGTGCTGTGGTGGCGATAGCGGTACGTGTGAGTATTAGCTCTTGCGGTGGCGTGCTCAGCTGCAGAGGGAATGCGCGGAGGAGGTCGGCAGAAGGACAGGAGGCAGGGCGAATGCGTCCGCCGTGGAGGAATGCGTGCGTCGGGGGATGGACGGTGTGCGTGCCGTTGTGGATGGGCGTCGTCGTTGGAGGCCTCAGCGGTATGCGCTGGTTGCTAAGGATCCTGAAGATGGCCCCACCGAAGCTATTTCCGTTGGATCAACGCTACCACCGCTGGTCCAAGAAACGCAAGGCACTTTACAGGGCTCGGCATTGAGGGATCAAGAGAAATCTTTAAAAGGAGGTGCAGGAGGGGGAACAGAATTGGGATTAGAACAACCGCAGCCTGAAGAATCGTCCGTCACCAAAAATAAGGAGTTAGACGTACGGCGGGAATTAATGGACGATGAAAACAAGAGTGTGCCCGAGAGAAAAGTGTTAGTTGGTTCAGATCTAAAGGACTCCAAGGCGATGAAAGTACCGGCGAATCAGCCGGAGGTGGATGCTTTATTGCCTTCTTCAAGTGATGTTCGTGCCGCTGACGTTCCGGGAGGAGTATCCTCTGATTTGTCTTCTGAAGTTTCTCGATCGTCTGAAGCCAGCGGAAAAGGAGGAGGCGACCAACAAAAAAACACAAGTGTGGCCGCAAAAACATCAGCAGCAGCTCCATCACCAAAGGAATCATTTCACACCGCATCGTCACCAGCAAAGGAGGACACAGAAAGCACGCAGCCAGCCGAC